CCCAGACCTAGACCTGGTCTCCCTAAATAAATGATCTCCTCCGCCGTGGTAATGGTTCTCCCTATTCTCTTCGGTCTTCTCTATCCCTCTCCTCCGTTGTGCTAGTTTTTCTCTTCTTACCGTTGATTCGTCGCGCTGCTGCCTCTCCTCCTCCATTCTCTCTTAGGTAAGGAATCTTCTTTCACATACTATTGTAGGTGCGTGAGAAGGACAAAGAGGACTCGAGTTTGATAGTATAACTTTTCAATAACTCCATTGGAATATGTGTTTTATATTTTGATTAGCTTGTGTAATATTGACTTGTGGATGTAATTGGTTGAATTATGTTAAATATTTTTTAAACCTTTGACGATTGGTGATTTGCAGTCTTTGAATTTTTCGTATAGGAAATATATTTATATTTGTTTAATGTATAAAATTGAGTCAGTAAAGTGACCCCATGACCTTAGCCTCGACTGAGTTAATGTCGGGTCGAGTTTTTAAACACTGCTCATAACTAATACATATATCACCTAATCAAATATGAGTAAAACTAAAAGACAATGTTCAACAACAACAAAAAAAGACAAAAAGACAATTGTCTTGAAAGGTACTTCTAATCTCTCCAAAATTATATGTGATCTCTTACATTGAAATTAAAAAAAAATAAGAATAATAATCAAGATTTCGGTTTATATTTTGTGAAGCCTAGAATTGATTCTCACATTTTTCAAGATGCATCGAATTTTAAAAATAATCATTCTTTTATAAATTAGATTTCTAATCATAATTTTACAAAGGGAAAAATGTTTCTGCAGTTAATACGCGACGTTGTTTTGATATTAAAATCTTAAAAAATTATAATATAAAGACTATTATAACCCTGAAATAAATTAAAATTACAAAAACACTCTGATTTCCGTCCCAAAACGACGTCGTATTGGCTTACTGCAGATAACTTATCTGCAGTAACTGCAGAAAAAGCGAACCCTTTTACAAATGGGGAAAACTCAAAAGTAAAACCTATGGGATTTTTTTTATAAAAAAAAAAGTTAGGTTATAATCGAGACTATATGCTTACAAAGTTATTGAACAAGTAATAGTTGCTTTGAGTAATTTAGGTATAGTTACTTTTAAATTTAAAAATGTATATTTTAAATACATTTTTAAGTTATTTTAATAAGAATAAATTTTTGCTTGAATATGTATAAAAAAAATTGCTTGAATTTTCCATATCATAATTTCAGCTTAGATAAAAATGACTATATAGAGTGTACTTTTTGAAACCTTAGTGTCGTTATGTAAGGAAACTTGTAAGAAACATAAAATTACTCATAGGTATTTACATACCAGATCTAAGTTTTGAAACATGTAACTCTTAATAAGTTATTAAAGTCTTTATTACTAAATGATAAAAAATTCAATCCTTATAATTTCAGTTAAATGATATAAAAATTAATTTAGTTCCTATGTTTATTTTGATTTTCCAAAATATTAAATTAAAGGATAATGTTTTGTCAACGCAAATAGTAATTAACATTTCATATTAAACGGGAAAGTAATTTTTAATTGTAATATTTAACCCCCCAAAAAAAAGTGTTTATTAATGCTTTAGAGTTTGAACATGGCGAAATGGAATGATCCGACCCGATCCGGGTAAAGCGCATAATGGAAGACGGGGGAATGAGATGACAACGTTGTCCCCAAGATAAAAAAGTGGTGGTGGTCGTCGATGGAGGTAACAGCTGGGCCTGAGTCACCATCATAGCTGTAGTCCTGTACTCCTGTTGTCTTCTATCATTATTCATTTCTAGCGTACACAATATTTATAACAAGATAATAAAAGTGGTCCCCATGTATTAAATCTCACCTTAGTTAAACACACAAAAGAAATTTACCAACCAAAAAAAAGAAAATCATTTTTTCCATGTTGGGAGTTATCGATATCTATTATTATTATTTTTTTAACAACTGATGAGTTTTATCATTTATTGTATTTATGATATGAGAAATATTATCTCATATATAACATGAAAAAAGAGAAGCCAAAAAATTACAACAATTGAAACTAAAATCCAAAACCGCAATGCTAATCAGGGATCACCCGTCACTTTCATTTCACCCTGACCACAACTAAGTATCAAACAACTCTTCTCCTCCTCCTACCTTTTTTGTTTTTGTTTCTCTTATTATATAAAATTATAATATTTGATAGATTCATGATTTCCGTTACTAACTTCAATTTTAGGAAAAAATATGTGTCATTTTAAGTGAGAGAAAAAGATAGATTATAAAGAAAAGAGAGTGGACAAAAAAACTAAAGATGTGAATTTTACTTATCTGTGAGAGTGAAGTGATACAAGTTGTGTCATTTAATAAGATAAACAATTTTTCCTTAATTTTATCATAACAAAATTAGGTGGACAACTGGGTTCGATGGATATAACACGGTCAAGTAAATACATACGTCACTTTTTTATTTTTTAATGTAACGAGATACGTGAGATTAATTTTCGTTTACATGCTAATGTTGCCCCTTCTCGTAAATACTCGAGTATGAACATGTAATTCCCTGATTCAAAGCATAATGAGTTAATCCTTGAATATCTAATTAAATAATTAAGAAAAATAACTCAATGAAACATCACTTAGATGGGTCATTGTTGTTAAAAATTTGAATGCGATCAAAGTGTCTAAATTAAATAAGGTCCCTTGACCAAGAACCCAATTTTTTTGGTCCAATGAGTCATTCCCTTCTACAATCCTTTGAGAAGAGGAAAGAAAGAATTGTGGCTATAGGACATTTTCCAATCAACGTAATGAAGAGACGGAAATGGATATTAAAGATGATTCAATAACTTGAAGTTTATCTTACTCTTGGGGATAAGAGTAATTTCTAGGAGAAGGGAGAATGTTACGATTTTTAGTTTTTATTTTATTTTATTATTTTGTTATTATTGCTAATTAATTACTAGACTAATATTTGAATTTGTTTAAATAAGTCTTGAGAGTTTTCATAAGCCTAGCAAAGTGGGTAGATATAGTTTTAGGTGGTTCTTATTTATATGCATTATGGCTTTCATATGTCTATTTAATTATAGTTTTGATTAATAAAACATTACGGTTGAAAATTATTAGCTTAGCATTGTGTGCAAGAGGATAGACTTCTTCAGTAAAGCCATCGTTTTTTCTTTCTTTTGTTCCGTCATCTCCTTGTTCCACCATACTTGTGTTTCAAAAAAAAAAACCAAGATAGGAAAGAAAGACCAAGATAAGACCTTGTACGTAACAAATTCTTATGTTACAGATATTGACATATTAATTTGCAAGATTATATGAAGGGCGATGTTTTTCTCATTCTATTGGAGAGGAGAAAATCTCCTACACACTCAAATTTATGGTGGAGCCCACACATAAAAAATAAAGAAAATAAAAAAAAATTATTGCACGCAAAACGAACTATCACTAACATGAGAAGAGAGCTCTCCTACAACATAAAAATTCTCTTTCCCTTATATGAAAGGATTGGATTGGCGTTAGAGAAATCTTATGTACGAGGCACTGAATCCAAATCCGAGTTTCTCACTTTTCCATCGTCTTAAAAAGCAAAGCAAACATACTGTTCTGTTCCATTAGTTTTGTTTTCATTTTTTGGTACTCAATGAGGATTTAACAACATGTATATTGGCTAACAAAGTGCAACATAAACTACCCAACTGTCATTAATTTAAACTCAAACAATAGACCGATCTGAGCTCAAAGATTGTTTCACATCAATTAAGATTGTTTCACATGTTAAAATGAAGCACAAGAATGTTAATATGAATAAGGTATAAGTTGTGAATGCCCCGCTGCAAAGATGCGAGACCTAGAGAAAGGAAAGGAAGTTCATAATTATGCTTCACAAAAGAATCCCATGCTTTATGGCGCTATCAACCTGGGAATTTCATCACAAAGAGACGTTAGTATTTTCTTTTCCTGATTTTGCATGAAATCCAACAATCTGTGAGAAAAGAAATGAAGAATTTTCTTGTGGGGTTACCTTGACTATAGTCGCTGTGGAGCAAACGACATTGTCAATCACAACCCTATTTAGTAGTGAAAGCTCAAAGTTAGTGAAGTTAACAAATTTTTATTAATTTCTAAGCTGAATAAAAACAAATTTTAAAAAACAAAGAATTGGGGGAAAAAACATTGTGGATGCAAGCAAAAGGGATATGGAGTGTTAGACACGATAGAGCTTTTCCTTGCCAAATGACGAATAGATGAGCATAATTTATGTTGCTGTACGAAAGAGGATTTAGCGAGTTTTTGCTTTGGAATAAAATTCCAAGGACAAGAATGACAATGTTCCACTTATTTATCATAGACTTGCATAACTAAATTCTTTAGCTAAAACGGGTTTCATGATTGAGCAAAAGGTACATATTTATGTATTTTAAAATCGAGAAAAAAGGGAAAGAAATTAAAATTTCACCTTTTTCCTCTTTGGCTTTTACTAATTGGTTTTCTTTCCTATACTCTCGTTTTGATTTATTTGCTTTTTCTGTGTCCCTTCGCAACGGCCGACAATCAGTGGAAGGTCACCGGCATGACTTGATGATGGTGTGCTGTTTAGCAACAAAACTCCAACACAATGACTGGTTGGAGGGAAGAAGATGTTTCACAACGAAAGAGGGGGAAAATAAAATCAGAAACCAAAGAGGGAAAAAAAGAAGGAAGAAATGGAATCATTTTTCCATTGCTGCAGAGTGTCTTTTCTGCCTCAAAAGCAGATATATTAATCCCTTTGAAATGTCACAATTACTTTCAGTATTTTATATCACTAGAATTCTTTTACAAAATGTGTGCAAAGATCCCCTCTATGAAATGCTTAGGTTTCAAAGAAGCAACGGAAACACCAATTCTAATTTTCAAAAACATCAAGGCAATTAAGACTTACAAAAATGTTATGCATTTCCTCCCGTGTCAGCTAACATCTAACTAGCAAGTTGACAGCAATATACATCAATATTGACGAGAACAGAGTTAGGTAAAATGGAAACATTAGAACTATGCAGACTGGGCTTTTACACCCAACGTAAAGTAGTGCACAATCAATCAGCATAAAACGGGGCCGAAGCTCACAGAGACGCTGGTTGGGATGGTTAGTCCAGACAATATAAAGTGGATTGGTGGGGTGGGGTGGGGGGTCGGAGTCACTAGCTACAAAGGACGTAGACCGGTGGGACTATATACTAACATTATTTACAGAAGAAATATCACATACATGACATGAGGAATAAGGTTGCTGTAATGGGATACAATAAAGTCAAGACCACGCATTTTAAAGTGCAAGCATCTAAAAAAACTTCTGCTTGTGAAATTCACATCACTATACATTTTTCTTTGGATTTTCCATCAGGCCTGGGAGATGAAGATGTAGATGACGATGAAGATGAATGCTTTCCAGTGTTTCTTGACACCTGCAAATAGCATTTACTAGAAAATTATTAAAATTTTAACTTTGAGATTTCAATTATAACCAGAGGTCGTAGAGTAGTCAAACCAATGCATTTTCATATAAAATGAAATGGTATTTGATACCAGAATTACAAGGATCTCCCTCGACGTTAAAAATGACACCATCTAATGGAATTCATGAGAGACGAAAGCAAAAGGGATGTATACAATCCATAACAGTGCAGATGCTGACAACTCGACAAAAACACCTTAAATTGGGTGCAGTAATAATTGCAAAACAATACATACCTGGGGACCTGTGACCAGTCTGGAGCTACCACTAATGGTTGATTGCTGTGGATTATGACGTGGGGCCGGCTGCTCAAACTCCTGTTGTTGCAACGCTATTGCTAATTGCAGATCAGAACTGTCACAATTACAGACAAGATCCATTTTTACCAAATCATTTCGAATAGCTAAAATTTTAACTGAACTTAAAAGTTGAAACAGGAATACTGTACAAGTTTTCTATGCCATTTCAGATGCTTATCTACAGGATCTTCCTTTTTTTTGTTTTTTGTTTTAGCAATTAAAATCTATTATATATGTGCCCATAACAAGTTCAGAAAATTACTTGATATCTAAACCTGCCTGCGCTGCACTATCTATGCTGGCAAGATAGTCCTGAAACACGTGAAGTTGTCATTATATCAATGAAACATTGTTTTGCAAGATTAGATATTTCCCTTTTAAAAGAATATACATACGGCAGTGCTGGTCATAGCATTGTTCTCATCCCAGGTGTTATTTTCATGGCTTTCTGCCTTGAATTCCTTGAAATTACTGGTCATAAACAATGTATCGCCATTGACCTGAAATATAAGTACATAAAAAAATTAATTTCTGCATTTTAATATTACATGATATTAATATGCTTTCCTTTAGTCACTCAGACTAGGAGAAGGGGGACCAGGCAGAGCATGGCCATCATTGCAGTAAAAAATGAAAACCTATACATAAAAAGACACCATATAAAGATTCATTCACACAAAATTTACTAAAAATCCAAGAAAACCCCCTGTATGACCTGTCCTTAAGTATCCAAGACGCTAAAATCACCAGGCATGCAAACTTTCAGTTTTCAGGACATTCAATTGAGAATATCTTCATCTATATAAACTCGCATCAGTATCAACATAGAAACAGAAAGAAGAAAACAACGAAATTTTAAGATGCACTAGATAAAAAAGGTCATAGAGAAAGTGTTTTACCTCATTCAGTTTTTCCCACACCAGATCAGGCTGATTTATGTAACCTTGGTCTGTAGCTAGAAGGTAGAGCTCACCCTCAAACTGTAATAAAAGAAAAAAAAATTAGGATTTAAATGAAAGACTATGCAAGACAGAGAGCCGCCAAGCTTTTTTCAATGATAAAAAGGTGCTACTGTTAGAAGCTGATATCAGTAATCCAAATGACCAAAGAAAACAACCTTCAAACCTTTTACTGACCTTAAACATGGTGCTAAAATGATTGTTTCGGAAAAAAACACATAGCTCACGCTCTTTAAGACCATCTTGTAAACAAAAGAGACTGCAAAAACAATTATAATATATCAAGTGTAAAAAGAAAATTCCTCGTAGCCAATAAAGAAAAATATATGTTTCAGTGAACTAGTTCAAGATATTTAGACCAACAAGACAAGAGGTCAACATACCCGTTAAATGTCAACTGGCTTGCATTATTCCTCAAGAAATTCTTGATCAATTCCCCTGAGACCATAAAAAAAGGACAGATGTTTTCTCTTGAAGATTACAATATATAGTTATCAAAGAAAATAATGTTCTGATGAGAATCAATCCAGTTATTCAATATATAGCACCACTGACCTTGTTCTGGAGTAATTTCATCCTTGGCCCTTAGATCAGGGGCAGCTAATGTGCTCTTGTCAGCCTGTTCTGCAAGCACCACCTCACCTTCATAAACAGGTTCACGATCCTCGAAATTTCCAGTTCTTGTATCCAATACACATTCCTCTCCTTCATATATGGGCTCACTCCCATCAACACTTGAAGGCAATGCTCCAGAAGCATCAGTTTGATGATATCTGACACTAGATGAATCTAAATTTGTATGGCTTGACGATAAGCATGATAATCCTGTTGCGTCAGGTCCTTGAGATTCACCTGCAACTTCATGATCTATAGTTGTAAGATTGGATTGATCGTGAACTTTACCAACCCCTCCAAAGACATCTGCACGGCTCTCAAACAAAGAGACAGAGTATTTTTCAGGAGAAAGGATAGCTGAACTCTCATTCTGAACTAATGCATCAAGGCCGTTCTTCTCAACCACATCATTCTGGCCAATAGATTCAAGTCCCATATAAGCTGATTGATGGTCACTTATGGCATCAGTCTTTAAGGATGAATTAGCCGCTTCCCCCAGTGTAGACGCAGAAGATGTCTGTTCATTACTGTCTTTGCCAGAAGCAGTGCAATCATCAGATATGGATGTTTCTGGCTCATGAAAGTCATTGTTTCCAGCACCAGTGTTCTTTCCTAACTTATCTCCAGAATCCACAGTTATAACCTGCTTGTTACACATATTTTCATCCATACTGACAGATATTGCTCCACCATTTACGTGACCTACAACAGGATCACTTACTGAATCTATAGAATCAGCCTCAGACAGCTTCAAGACTCTCAACAACTCTGCCTCTTCTTCAAGATCGCCTTTTCTTGGTAAAGGATCAGAAACAGAATGTGGAGAATCATCAAAAGATCTGGCTTTTGAAAGACAGGGAGAAGGAACTCCAAGAGCTGCAGTTGTTGCAGCCACAAAATCAACACAATCTTCTTCCAGATTATTTTTGTGTTGGACTTCCATTTTTAGTGTTTCAAGAGAAACAAGCTCTCCCATAAGGGCATTATAGGACTTTGATGCAATTGCATTTGCAGTATCATAATCCTGGTTCACAAGCACATGAAGATTTGAATATCAAATAAACACATCATAAAATAAGAAATTAACTCCACGTGATTCAAGAAAAACATGAGGCTAACATTTTGATAAGCATTCAGATGATTATTCAAGAAAGATCGCTCAGCAATTTAAAATTTACAGTAAACTATGAATCAGGCAACTATTGATCAAAACCTAAAAAACCCACTAAAGCCAACATAGATGGAGGCTAGATCAATTTTAAGATGTGGCGCAAAGAGGCCACTGATACAGCAGTTTCAACTTTCAAAGAACTAGTCCAGTTTGCAGACTGATAAATAAATCATATGTATACATCAGAATAACTGGTTCTAATATAACCTAAAGAGTAAAGACTAACTTTTCTGCAATCAAACCCTACCTGGCCGATTTCACAATAGCAACACGAAAAAGGATGCAGTACAGAAGCATAAAATGAATACAAAAATAGGCGTGGTATCATTTTGAAGATAACCAAGAAATTACCAAGCCAAAATTTTGGAGCTTACTGAAAACAAAGAAATATCCTTAGACTAACATTGATGAGTCAAAATATGCCGTATCTCATTTTATACACAGCAGAACTTTTTATGGGCACATTAGAACAAGGCGGACAACTGGCAAGGAAACAAACAATCTTCTAGAACTTCCCTAATTCATATAGCATGATGATAAGACCGCAATTGTATCATTACTATCCTAATATTACTTCACATAACCTAATAATATCCATAAAAATAATCACTACAAAAAAAGTACAAGAAAAAGCATATATATATTTGTACATATATATAGTTGAACAACCCCCCCCCCCCCCCCCCCCGATAACCAAGAAATTACCAAGCCAAAATTTTGGAGCTTACTGAAAACAAAGAAATATCCTTAGACTAACATTGATGAGTCAAAATATGCCGTATCTCATTTTATACACAGCAGAACTTTTTATGGGCACATTAGAACAAGGCGGACAACTGGCAAGGAAACAAACAATCTTCTAGAACTTCCCTAATTCATATAGCATGATGATAAGACCGCAATTGTATCATTACTATCCTAATATTACTTCACATAACCTAATAATATCCATAAAAATAATCACTACAAAAAAAGTACAAGAAAAAGCATATATATATTTGTACATATATATAGTTGAACAACCCCCCCCCCCCCAAAAGAAAAAAAAAATTGTCCAAATTTGCACCAAAATAATCGCTAAGAAGTTGCCAATTGATGGCGTGAACAAAATGCAAAGATTTTAATTGAATGTATTCAGAACCACAAAGTACAGCAATCATATATGATGACTTTTTAAAAAAAAAAAAAAAAACAAACTATATAGTAACTAACTAATTTGGATTGAGGGTACACAAAATACCTGAGGATCAACTATCCAGCCATGATACAAAGGGATGTCCAGCAGATCAAATATGGCACACTCTGAGGTGAATTCAAAATCATCTATTCTGCAATTAATATGCAAAATTTTTATCAGAACTTTAAAATTGATGATGGATCCACATAACAGCGAAATAAATAAGGAGAACTAACCTCCTAAATTTTATATTTACATCAATGCCAGTAGCAAGCCTAGGGAGCAAATCAATTGCATCGGCAATGTTCTGTTGTTGATTTTCAACATAGACAGAGTCTTTGTTCTACAAGACAATAAGAAAAACTGTCAAATCAACTTGCACCATTGAAGAGAGAATGTCACCAATGATAACAGACGGAACTCTTACATTCACATTACTATTCGAATCAATTAATCGTTCAGCAACCAATGAAAGCAATTTCTCCTGTGAGACTTCAGCAATATCTGGACTCAAATTTAAGTTGTTTCTAAGCAGAAGAACATTACCTGCAACAATGCAATATATAAACAGCAAGCAATAAGTGTGACACTAAAAAACAAGAAAAATCAAACAAATATTGCAAGTAAGCTTTCTAAAGTGCAAAACATTAAGCATGACATATGAGGGAAAAAAATGGTTAAATTACATGTTTTGAATCATCATCTAAGAGCGCATCAGCTTGTTACATATCCTACAGTCATATTTTCCAGATAGTACCAAAAGAAAAGAAAAATATATAATGAAAAAAAGAACCAGAAGAAACAAATGACCAGAAGGGAAAACATATAATAGGATTCCTACAAAGGTGCATGAAGAGAAAAGACTTCATCTGATGAGAAATATCCTACTAGATATGAAAAGGAGAATAGTAACCGGTCAGAGAAATCACAGGAAAATGACAAGAAAATATGTTATCATTAAAGCTTACATCGGGTGTACGCATTTGAATCTTTAATTTAATTTCACTTGTGATAATATATGAGTTCCTACAAACAATCTGCCCAAGATAATTCTTAGTGTATGATTGGTGTAGATATGTGTCAACTGACAAGTTCAAAATGGGAAATGGCAATTCCATTAAATTACAAGGACAAAGCAAGAAACTACACCATCAATGCAGTGATGAATGTGTGGCACACAAAAAAGGATAGGATTTAAAAGAGAAGAGAGAGGAGGGGGGGGAGCAAATGATATTTGCTGAAATACAGTGATGAATGTGTGGCACTCGGATAATATAACCAAAGATAAAAACGGGAAGGGCTAAGACCTAAGAGAAACGTACATACACAAGCAGGTTGGAGTAATGGCATCTTGGCCAACAATCAATCTGAAAGAGAAATCATATGAGGATTCTGATAAGTTTTATTTTGCAACACCAACCGCATATTGTTCCACTTACAAACTTTCCAGTATAGTAAAAAGATAATCTCGGCATAGTTGTCAGTAGCAGTTAGCGGCCGGTAGCAGCCGACCTCGAAAATGGTATAGCGGTGTAGCGGGTAGCGGTATTGCCGCTACGGTGAAGTATTAATTCCACATATATTATACTAACAGTCAAAAAACAAGGCAATGCCGCTTTTAGTATTAATGCTCAAACATAAGAAGTCACACAAAATCAAACACATAATTCCACAATCAATGTCAAATACAAGGAACATAAAGGAAGGATCCAAAACTAAACACATATGAACAATAAAATTGTCAAATAGTCAAGTACAAGAAGTGAACTAATGAAGAAAATCATTATCATCTCCGGATTCTCCATCAAATAAGCTACGCCGCTACCTTCCTTCCGCTACGGCCAATGTCGCGTAGCGTCGCGGTTTGTAGCAGCCGACCGCCGCTACCGGCTACGGTAGCGGTTTAACGGCGCTTCGGGCCGCCAGTGACAACCTAGAATCTCGGTTATTATCAAAATTTGGCATCGATAAAAAACAAAAAATACTTGCTCTGATTGACGTCCCCGAAGGAAGAAAAATATAAGCCTAATAATAGAATAATTAGTACCACTAACGAACACGAAGAGATAGGTTGGTGTGAAAAAGAACAGCATGAAGTAACGAAATACCAGAAAGATTCATAGTTGTTGGTAAAATAATTGGAAATTGGAAAAAGAATACGAAATAATGTCCTATGCCATCAATCGTCAGTAACTAGCAGAGAAATTGAACAAGACAAAGCGAACAGATTTAAAGAATTCAAAGTGACAGGCAATCAATCAAAAAGTAAAAGCAACAATTAGTCAGAAGACCACATTCCATATCCCTAACACAATCCCATTTGGTTCCGAAGCGAATAAACGAAAAATTGAGGAGAGGCAGCAATAGAAATGCGAGAAATTGAATAAGTTTGGAATTAAGCATGTGGAAACCCTAGGTTGAAAAATGCACTGACAGATTGCAAGAAGCGGACAGGGGCCATTGTCGTTTTGAAGAACGATCGGAGTTGTGCGCCCAAGAAACTGAATCGTTTTGGTTTTGTGGATGCACTCTTTCACTGGAGACAGCTGTTGAAGTTCCTGTTCCGGATTCTGATCTTGACTCTGATCCCTTTGTTGGTCCATAGGGGAAGACGACGCCATAACCATTTCGATGGAGAGAGCACGTTCTTGGTTTCTTTGAGAACGAGATTAAACAACAATAACTATTGGCTTTTTTATGAGTGCGAACCAATTAGAATAACAGAAAGAGAAAAGAAAAAAAAAGAGAAGACAATATGTCAATGGAGTAGGAGGAGTAAGTAATATAAAGCTTAATGACTCGTTGCTCCACGTTTGATGTCAAAGCATTCCCATGCTATTCTCTTCATTCTATTTTTTATCATGAATTTCTTCCTTCCATATTTTTACTTTCCTTCATTATTTACAACTAAATAATTAAGTTAGTATAAAATTTATTATTGTTTTGTAATAAAATTAATTGATTGAATAAAAAGATATAATTAACAATAAATTAAAAAATTAAAACTCAAAATATCTTTCTTAAAAATCTTATACTTAATAGTTCAGAAATAAAGATATAGAGACCAATAATATTTTTTTGAAGTGGTAAAGAGCTTGTTTCCTTGATAAGAGAATTAGAATTTGAGCCCTATAAAAAAAATGATATTACGAAAATCGGATTAGTTGAAAATCAGTTAAAACAACCAAATTAGTTAAAAATCAGTTAAAATAACTGAATTAGATGAGAATCGATTAAAACAAGATATGTAACACTACCTAAATTTACATGGAGCAACGTGTATAGTTATGTTGGACTCTTCGCAAGGTTACTTACTTCTATACAGTTACTTCATATTTTTAAAATGGTTGTTTTTAAACCAGGTATACGACAAAACCTAGAAATCGATCACTCATTCAATTGGAGTATTTCGACAAGATAGACCTCGACAAAAAACTAAAGAGTAATAAATGAAAGTGATTGAGTTCAGTAATTCCTCGTATAAGATTATTGACTCGAGAGATATGGTAACATGAATAAGATAAAGTGTTTGTTGCGATCCTCTTATTTTTAGCTTCTCTTCTCTTATAAGTAGAAGTTAATCCAAACAGGTTTTGAGAAAAGCTTTTATAATAAAAAACTTTCTTTTTTAATGAAGAAAAAAGCCAAAAGCCAAAAGCTCGTAAGATGAGCTTTTTTAAGCTCTTATCAACTTTCCCTTGATAAGAGAATTAGAATTTGAGCCCCATAAATACAAAAAAAATTGATATGAGAAAAATCGGATTAGTTGAAAATCGGTCAAAACAACCAAATTAGTTAAAAATCAGTTAAAATAACTGAATTAGTTGAAAATTGGTTAAAACAAGATATGTAACACTGCCTAAATTTACATGGAGCAACGTGTATAGTTATGTTGGACTCTTGACAACGTTACTTACTTCTATACAGTTATTTCATATTTTTAAAATGGTTGTTTTTTAAACCAGGTATACGACAAAACCTAGAAATCGATCACTCATTCAATTGGAGTACTTCGGTAAGATAGATCTCCACAGAAAACTAAAGAGTAATAAATGTAAGAAGTGATTGAGTTCAATAATTCCTCGTATAAGATTATTGACTCGAGAGATAACTAACATGAATAAGATAAAGTGTATGTTTCGATCCTCTTATTTTTAGCTTATCTTATAAGTAGAAGCTAGTCCAAACAGATTTTGAGAAAAACTCTTATAATGAAAAACTCTCTTTTTTAATGAAGAAAAAAGTCAAAAGCCAAAAGCTCGTAGGAAGAGCTTTTTTTAAACTTTTATCAACTTTTCTTAAATTGTGTGTTTTTTTAATGAAGAACCATAGAGATAGAGGGCTTAAAGAGAAAGAGGGTTTTCTTGAAATGTGTGCTTTTAAGTAAAAAAAATCATGTAATCACCAAATAGCTATTGGCTTCTTCTTTTTTTAGCTTTAACTTAAAAGTAACTTCTAGCTTAAAAAGAGAGAATCCAAAAACATTGATAGAATCATAAGCATCTCTTGTTTCAAACAGGAAAGGACAATTATTTACATTTCATTTTATGATCAGAGGTGAATTGAAAATTAAGTAGTGGTAATTCTAAGGATTTCGTAAGTGATCAACGTGACAAATAAATTAGAGCGATTAAATACAAATAGATCGATGGTTAAAATTTAGTGCAAAATTTTTTATTTTCACATCCATATAAATTAATCTCTCTTGTAGTGAAACTTGTGGAAGTAAATTGTTACCAAAATAATAATAATAATTAAAGTGATTTTTTTTAAACTAAAACCAAAACAAAAGTTAATTTTAAATACATTTATATTCTCAAATTTTACTCAATAACAAAAGAGAGAACACAATTTTTTGGCCTTTTGATCATAGTGATGCAAAAGAGGAATATTTTAACATACTGATTTAAAATCCAAACATTCTACCAAAATAATATCGTGAAATGTGCATAAGAATGTGTTTGTTCAAGTCATGCATAAAAATGTGCATGTTAAAGTCATGCATGAAAAAAAGGTACGTGACTTATGCCTTGGCACAGATGCACCTGCCACATGGCGGGCGCTGCAAATCGTGTATGGGGGCAGTACGCAACTTGCATCATATGCCATGTGGTTGGTGTAACACCTCGTATATATCCGGTTTGTTATCATATCATCGTATTAAGCCATACTTAATTTAAAAATGCGAAATATCTTTTTCTGTTTAATTATGACGTTATTATCATTAGCCAAGTTGAATTACTTAATTCATTTCATAAAACATCGCCTGTATGTAAATTGCAAAAGACAACTAACTGAAATACCTCATAACATAAATAACATAATTATGTTTCTAGTCACGGATTTACAACACGTAGACCGGACAACCCTAATAGTTTATACAACTCAAGCTGGAAGTACTAACATCAATGTGGCATGGACAAACCTCATGCTCACCAAATAAGGCAACAAATCCAAAAATAGTCTCAACTCAAATATCAATATAAAGACAGAAAACATAAACAGCATCCAATATCCAGTCATGTCAGCATACAACATATATAATCAGCTAAGCTCTGGCCTCCTGCCGCCAGAGGTCTCAACCCCCGCATTATCTGAACCTGAAATATGTGCCCCAAACGTGGGGTGAGATCTCTAAAAAGAAATCTCAGTAAGACAAGGGGTCCTCAAGGATCTTCCACCCCAAGCTCACTTACACGAGCAATATAAGTTCAAAAGCATTTAACAGTATAAGTTTCAAAACTATGCAGTGCAACAGATATTCATGCCATGTGTGTTTTATCTATTCTACTGGCCAAAGAAATGCAGGAATACGTCTATTACCTACAGTTAGTACAAGGAACATCGCTTGCACCTCACCCACAGTTTCACCCTCTTGTATGTACCACATACTCAGGCTTACCGTATAGGTGGAACACCACATGCATATCATAAAGGCAATCGCATATAACAGCTCAACAGCATTTCAACAAATCAATATATCATGAAAACAACATCATGCATATAACCATACCCCCATGGGACATGGATGAACCAACAATGGCTAAACCGAGGACACGAAAGCTTACCTTGCAAGCTAACAGTCCAAGCCAAGAGTCCAACCAATCTCAAAGCCCAAACACAGCAGAATCACAATCTGTTTTGGACCAACAATAGATCAATAATCATGCTTAACAAGCATAAGACACAAAGACAACGCCTTTCATTTACGTTTTACATCTTTAGGCTTCTCACAAAGCCACAAGCCCTTAATCACTTAGATTCTGACTTACATTAATCATTACAGAAGTCCACAGTAGCCAATATGGGTCCACAAACCCAAATTAGCATTCTGTATGAACAGTACCTTCACTGTTCACGAAAACCCAGAATATCCGGATATTTGTCGGGGGCATATCCGGATATCTGACTGAAAATATCCGGATATCAATATCCGGATATTCAGAACCCCATATCCGGATATCAATATCCGAAAATTTCTAACCCAATATCCGGATATTTCGCGGCAGAACTCATATTCTGCATTTCGCGAGATATCAATCCAAAGGTTCGACTTTTACCGATTATATAAGCTTAAACATGCATTTCTAGGTGTGTTTAAGCTTACCCAACCTTAAGTTATTATATTTTGCTCATTACATGCATCAAGGCTTCATTTTTAACTAAGAAAACTCATGTTCAAGGGTGGTAAGGCTTACCTAAGCTTAAAACAGAGCAAGTAGGTGCTCTTGGAGCTCTCACTTCAGCTCCAAAGTTCAGCCAACAAGGGTGCACGAAAATGGCACACAAAACTTGACTTTTCTTCACAAAGGTTAACACTTGGAGCTTCAACAACCAAGACAAAAGGCTCCAACACCCCAACCCAAGAACTCAGCCCCTACACTCACTCAACACAGCCACCAACATTAAAAAATGGTGCTCCTTTCTCACTCACAATGATGGTCCACACTTACCCAAGGTGTTTAGGTGAAGGAAGATGGAGAAAAGGTGCTCCCTTGGAGCTTCAATGGAGGTGGAAGAGGCTAGCAAGGTGGATGACCCCTCTCTTTAGAAAATCCCACGTAGCAAGGCACAAAAATAACCTAGGATTATTTGCCAAGGCTATGTATAGGCCACTTAAGTCTTAATCGCACTGTATTAGTGCTAATTTCTACGCTTAGCAATTTAATCCCAAACTTAGGATTCTGAACCTACTCATTTTTCTAAGATTTATCATATTTTTATTTTATTTTTCGCAACATCTTTCCGGTACGCGCTTTTCCATAGCCAGTATCAGTTCTGGCACCAGTTCTCATTATTTTGACTTGAAAATTGTTTTACAAGTCCTATATATTATTCTAGTAATATTTCCACACTTATTATAATTTTCCGGGATACTTCATCGGTACGCATTTATACCGAGTAGCAGAACCGGTATCTGAACTTTTCGTCCGAAAAGAGACTTTCAGCGTTATTACTCACTTACTATAATTATCAAAGCCTCATAATAATTATTAGGGTCAATTATGAAATTATTTCCTAATTTCTTATAATTAATTAATTAACTTGTTGGTGCGCATTCGTCCATATGCAAGTCGTGTGGGTTCCTTATACATACAAATCTAACGATATTATTTTTGTAAAATATGTAAATTTAAGATATTAAAATTAGTCTTGAGAGATTTAGATAAGTTATAGACAAGAACATTAGTGCCACTATTATAT